TTATTTTAATTTGCCCAGAGAGTGACAGAGCGTGTGTGTGTGTGTGTGTGTGTGTGTGTGTGTGTGTGTGGGTGTGAGAGAGAGAGAGGGGGCCTGAGAGTCACGCCCTGTGTGTGTGTGTGTGTGTGTGTGTGAGCGAGGGAGAGAGAGCGGGGGCCTGAGAGTCACGCCGTGTGTGTGTGTGTGTGAGAGCGCGAGCGAGGGAGAGGGAGAGACCGGGGAGGGAGGCCTGAAAATCACCCATGCGCGCCCGAAACCTCGAGGGGAATGGAGAGGTGCCCGCGGTGTAGCCAGGCTCACCAGAAAAGGACTTCTCGCCTCCCTGACTTTCGGGCAAGCACATGTGCTCTACAGCGGACTCAGAAAAGGGATTGAGGCCCGGCAGGTGGCGTGGTGGTTAAGGGCACTGGACTCCCTTGGCCGACCAAGGTTTGAGTCCCAGACCTGGTAGGACTCCCTCTCCCCTCTCCCATCAAATTAAAATAAAAAATAAAGTTAAATAAAATAATTCTTAAAAAAATAAAAGGGAGGGGCAGCAGGTGGCCTAGCTGTTAGTTTGCTGGACTCCCATGTGGCTAACGGTAATTTGCGTCCCAGACCCGGTAGCGTGAAAACCATGCTGGGCACGTGTGTGTGCATGCCCAAGATCCCAGGAGAATGGAGGACAAGGGACTGAAGTGTGGCCATCCCCCCAGGGGGTGACTTCTCACTTTCTGTCTCTCTCTCTCTGCTGAGTGCTTGCACGCTTATGGAAAGAAACCTCTTAAAACAAAAAGAAGAGAGGCCGGCAGGTGGCGTGGTGGTTAAGGCCGCTGGGCTCCCACTTTGCCACCCGAAGTTGGAGCCCCGGACCTGGCGGCTTTCTTCCTTCCTCTGCCCCTCTCTGGTCAATTTAAAATAAATAAGTCGAGTTAAATAAAACAACGCCCGCAAGGTAGGACACAGATGCACCTGCCCAGGACAAGCCCTGAGGATGGCCTCGGCAGGAATGTCCCTCTGAGGCCTGTGACTGTCCCCACTGCCGACCGGCCCTGCCTCGGCTCCCCCCCCGCGCACCCCCCACAGCCCCGGGACCAGCCACAACTGCGTGAAGGCCAGCTCCCTTCCTGCTGTCCCGGGGTGCCCTCCAGACCCACCGAGGCTCACCAAAGTACTTGGAGGTGGTGCCATCCTCGGCGTGGACTACCACCAGCCCCGGCCGCAGGACCTGCAGGGTGGGCACATGGGACGCCAGGATGCCGAAGGCCCCAGTCAGTGTGGGCACGTCCACCTGCCGGACGTTGGCACCGCTGAAGAACACCTGGAGGGGACAGTGCGGGGAATGAGGCCCCCGTGGGCTGGCCTCAGGGCCACCAGCTCAGCCTCACAGGGGAAATAGGGCCAGCCCCGCAGAGCTGTGGGCTGCACGCAGACAGGTGGAGGCGGCGCCATGGCCCTGGGACAGCTGTGCCTCACCTTGTCCACCTGCAGAGTGAGACTGCTCAGACGGGCTAGCAACCCCTTCCCTGGGGAGAGGGGATGGAGCTGGGGGCCAGAGGGTCAGCCACCTAGGAGTGGGGGGCTCTGGACTGCCGGGAGGGGCATAGCGCCCTGGGGTCAGGGATGGGGGGCTGGCAGCCTGGGTACAGGGCTCCGGACCACGGATAAAGGGTCGCAGGGGTCAGGGATGGGGGGCCGAT